TTATCTTAACATGGTAATCATTTTTTTTGCCTGCGCACTGTGGAACTTCTTTTAAATTATCTATAGTGCAAATAAAAAGAGTCCATGAATAATCAGAAAACTCTTTGGAGAAAATGGACAGACAGTTGAATGAAATAAAATATTTCTTCAAGTAATAATGCAGTCTTTCAACTTCTGGATGTAAGAATTCCAGGATTTAATGAGTAACTTAAAAGGTCTTCCTTCAGATTGTGAACAAGACTCCACAAGGTAAGACTGAATCAGGCTTCACAACTGTATAACTCTCTTTATTATGTAAGAAGTTAAATTATTTTGAAAGAAGACAAATTCCAATTCTAGTTTTATCTCTTAAAAATTTGTGACCTTACTGAAATTAATGAGATGCTCTGAATCTTAGTTTCTTCAAAAGGAAAATGGGGATTCCCATTCTTGTTGCTGTGAATGTTGAAAGTGATACATTAAACTGTGAATATCAGACTGGAATCCACTGTGGGAGTTTTGAACACTGTGGAAGTTGGCAGGAATATAACGGAACAAGAATTAAAGAGAACCATTGGACTGCTTTAGGATAACAAGTTGTCAGAAGCCAGAATTTTCATGGACATACTTGGAGGAGGCTGCTACAGTGACCAGGAAGGAAATGGGGTGGAGATGATCAAATCTGTGATACATTTTGAAAGGAGAGACAACAAGCTTTGCAAAAGGTATGGATAAGTCATAGGAGATCAATAAAGGAATAAATAACACAGTGAGCTTTCTTTTCTGAGCAATGACATTGAACAACTGCAGTACCATTTAACGAGGTGGAGAAGAACACTTTTATACTGTGGAAAATTTTAGATTATGCATCTAAATTGATGCTCAACTGCAGATATCCAAAATTGGAGATATTGCATACAAAAACTTGAAAATTATTATAGAGGTGAGAATGACATTGGACTGCATCAGTATTTATTGGTCAGGAAATGGGAACATCAAACTAAAGATTTTCAGAAAGAAGTATCAATGAGTCCCGAGATAATCCAGGGCAGTGATCTTCTAAATTCATAGTTTGATCTTTTCACACTGAAGATGTAATTTAATTTAAGTGGGTTTCAGGTATTACTGGCTTCCCTGGTGGTTCAGATGATAAAGAATCCTTCTGTTAATGCAGGAAATCTGGGTTTGATCCTTGGGTCAGAAAGATGTCCTGGAATAAGAAAAGACAACCCTTTCCAGTATTCTTTCCTGGATAATTCATTGAGCAGAGGAGCTTTGAGTCCTACAGTCCATAGGGTCGTGGGGTCTCAAAGAGTTGGACATGACTAGCAGTCAACACACACACACACACACACACAGGTATTAGACCCTTTGTGACTTTATAAATGGCGTAAATTTTCATAGAATTCCTTTGCCATCTTTTCTTGTTCTATCAATTACTTTAAAACTCAACTAAAGTGTTGCTTATTTTTGGAAGACTTCTCTGATTCTATCAACTTGCCTGTCTGAAATTAATGCAAACTTTATTTGCATTTGAAATAAGCTTTAAATTACTCATTCTGAAATTTTCATTCATCATATTTGGAAATCAGTTCAGATATCATCTTCAAAGACAAAGCTTAAACTTAGAGATCTGCCAAGCTTGAAGGACATGATTTAAATAGGGAAATTTTCACATATTACATTTCTGCCCAGACTGGACTTTTCCCTCTTGTTGATATGACCTCAAGTTTTTTCTTAGTATTTTCTCCCAGAGGACAGGGTTTGATAACTCCTGTTCTATACAGTGATTATCCTGGTGGTATCCTGGTGGAGATAAAGAGTCTACCTCAAAATTATGGTTAAGGTCCCAATAAATTTAATTAGACAAAATCACTCTTGGAGATGCACACATTGAATGACTCAATCATACATGATGTAGTTAAATGTAGGCAAAGTGTTTATGGTCCTTTGCACTTACCCCATAGAGTATTTGTAGCAGTAATCTACATTATACAGAGTGAAGTAAGCCAGAAAGATAAAGACCATTACAGTATACTAACACATATATATGGAATTTAGAAAGATGGTAACGATAACCTTATATGCAAAACAGAAAAAGAGACACAGATGTATGGAACAGACTTTTGGACTCTGTGGGAGAAGGCGAGGGTGGGATGTTTCAAGAGAACAGCATCAAAACATGTATATTATCTAGGGTAAAACAGATCACCAGCCAAGGTTGGATGCATGAGACAAGTGCTCGGACCTGGTGCACTGGGAGGACCCAGAGGGATCGGGTGGAGAGGGAGGTGGGAGGGGGGATCGGGATGGGGAGTACGTGTATACCCATGGCTGATTCATGTCGATATATGACAAAAACCACTACGATATTGTAAAGTAATTAGCCACCAACTAATAAAAAAAAAATCACCCTTGGAGATGCACGCATTGAATGACTCAATCATACATGATGTAGTTAAATGTAGGCAAAGTGTTTATGGTCCTTTGCGCTTACCCCATCGAGTGTTTGTAGCAGTAATCACATGGCAGTTTCCTCCCAAATTGAAATCAAAAGTTAATAAAGTATATATGTGAAATTATTCTCCATCCTTTACAAACTCAAAGTTCAACAATGCTGTAAGAAGACAGGAAAGCAGAACTTATTGAGACTCAAAATGTTGCAAAGGCTATTTCACTTTCACTGGTATAAGAACAAATAGAAGGTTTGGGTGGGATAATCTGAGAGAATAGCATTGAAACATGTATATTATCAAGTGTGAAACAGATCACCAGCCCAGGTTGGATGCATGAGACAAGTGCTCAGGGCTGGTGCACTGGGAAGACCCAGAGGGATGGGATGGGGAGGGAGGTGGGATGGGGATCAGGATGGGGAACACATGTAAATCCATGACTGATTTATGTCAATGTATGGTGAAAAGCACTACAATATTGTAAAGTAATTAGCCTCCAACTAATACAAATAAATGAAAAAAAAAACAAATAGCAATGTTTTATTTGAAGCAATACATCACAATTTGATGCTTTCTCTCTCTCTGATCAAAATATTGCTTTAGCATGTTTGTTACCAAGACAAATTCTCACAACTGAGAAAATTCTGAATTTCTTTTTATAATTAAGATTCAGAGTATTTAAGTAAGAGTACATTTATATTAATTTCAAAGCCTCAACAACTTGAAAAGTAATATTTCTCTGAATGACTGAGATGAAGTAGGCTTTCTACAAGCATGGAGTTGGTCACAAAGAACCAATTCAAGGTCCAGTGATGGTGCATATATCTCACTGTCTGTTTCCAGAGAGGGCATCAGCGCATGAAGGACAAAGAGAAGGCATCAGAGCCCTGAACGTGGAGTGAACACCATTCTCCTTACACAGGTAACCCAGGAAGTGTATTAAAACACAAAATTCTGAACAAAGCTTTAAGTTTTCATTTGTGAGTATTAAATATGTGAAGATTGATTTTATTCTGTAAGACTCTTTTTGGATACTTTCATACTCTAGTGATCTGAAATAAATTTACCTTTTTGAAGACATTCTTAAAGATTAATTTCAAGTGTAATTATTTGAGGATATTATCATAGGCAGATATTTGTAAATCAAAAGATAGATTCAATTAATATGTTATCTAAATGTTTGTTCATCTGTCAAAAAAATAGATAGCACCTGTAGACCTGATTGAATAATTTTCAAGAACCTAAGCTAATGCTCTAATAAGCAAGCCATTTCTTCAGTTCCTACTTTTCTGTTCACAAGTGAGCTTCAGCATTCGATCATATGTTTTTCGCCCATTTAGGGATAGTCTTCATTTAATTGTTTATATATTTTATGTTAAAATTTTCTTTATTTTATTTATTAGCTAATTGTTTAGAAATCTTTATTTAATTTAGATATAGCTTTGTGTATATCAGCTAAAATTTAAATAATTTCCACAAACTATTTTTGTCTCCTGTTGTGGTATGTTTTTCTAAGTCCTTAGACAAATTTGAAATTGTCAAATATATCTATTTGGGATTTTGATGATTGGTTAAGAAGATTCTTCCACCCCAAAATGTAGACAGTAACATCCTTTATTAAATGGAAAGTAAATATGAGGTACACTTTGCTTTGTTTTGCTATTAAACCTTTAATTTGTGTTTATTTTTGTATAAGTTTTCTCTGTATGTACAATTAGCTTCCATATGAAAAGCTAGTTTTGGCATCTGATTTATTTAATAGTGTGTCATTTTCCCACATATGTCTCTAGTCACTTGCCTCTGAATTAGTCTATAAGTTTGTTCACATTAGGAATTATGCTTTAACAAGCTGTGTGTTGTAATATCTGAAAGTATTGGTGCTTAAAAATCCATACTGCCTAATTGTTAAAAACAAATTAGTTCAAAATTTCAGATTACACTATCAATAATGTATGCATATAGGGAATGATGAGCTGAACTCTGAAATAAGACAAATAGAAATACCTATAGAACAAAGAAACAATATAAATGAGTTTGTACTCTTGGGGCTCACTCAGAGCCTCCAGGGTCAGAAGATATTATTTGCTGTGTTCTTGCTCATCTACATTGTCACGATGATGGGCAATGTACTCATATTAATCACTGTGGTGGCCAGTCCAACCCTGGCTTCCCCTATGTACTTCTGCCTTGGAAATTTGTCATTTCTGGATGCTGTTTATTCTACTAACTTTATCCCAAGTATGATTAAAAACTTCCTTTGTGAGAAGAAAACCATTTCCTTCCAAGCTTGCATGGCCCAGCTTTTTATGGAGCACTTATTTGGTAGTGCTGAGATTTTACTCCTGGTGGTCATGGCCTATGACTGCTATGTGACCATCTGCAAACCCTTTCATTATTTGACAATCATGAATCAGTGAGTATGTGTTCTGCTACTGCTCTTGGCCTGGGTTGGTGGGTTTTTACAAGCTGTCCTTCATCCTCTCTTTGTTTACTACCTTCTATTCCATGGCCCAATGTCATGGACCACTTTGTGTGTGACATGTACCCCTTGATAAAAGTTAAAACTAGCCTGCACTGACACCCACATCATTGCCCTCACAGTGCTGGCCAATGATGGGGCCATCTGCATGGTCATCTTCACACTCTTACTTATCTCATATGGGGTCATTATACACTCCATGAAGAATCTTAGTCAGGAAGGGAGGCTCAAAGCCTTATCCACCTGTGGCTCCCACATCATTGTGGTGCTCCTCTTCTTTGTGCCCTGTATTTTTATGTATGTGAGAACTCCTTCCACTTTACCTATTGACAAATTCTTGACTGTGTTTTACATTGTTGTCACCCCTATGCTGAGTCCTCTAATCTATACTCTGAGAAATGGAGAAATGAAAAATACCATGAAAAAGCTCTGGACCAGAAAAAGAAAATGAGGCACCTGGGAAATGTATTTTCAATCAAGACTTCCTCTTCCCAGGAAAGACATATGTGATTATTTAATTTAGTAAATGTATTCTCATGTTTAATAACTTGGGCATGATGAATGGATTTATTATATGGACACTTCCAATGATCAAAATATGCTTTTAAATATTTCATAATTTTCTGGTTCAATGCATATATTTTATTGAAAAGATTTTTTAAGATATCCACAATTTCTTCAGGAAGGATGTATTGTTTGGGTTAAAATGTCTCTATTGAGACTACAGGTTTATATTCTATATGATGAGTTAAGCTATAGTTAATACCATACATTTATTTAATTAGGGGAAGATTTTCCCATGTTTTTCTCTTAAGTAATGTAATCTTTTTCAAAATTAATAGAGTTCTTTACAAATAGTGACAGACTCTATTTCTTGGGCTCAAAAATCACTGCTGATGGTGACTGCAGCCATGAAATTAAAAGATGTTTGCTCCTTGGAAGAAAAGCTATGAACAACTTAGACAGCATATTAAAAAGCAGAGACATTACTTTGCCAAGAAATGTTTGTATAGTCAAAGCTATGGTTTTTCTAATAGTCATATATGGATGTGAGAGTTGGACCAGAAAGAAGGCTGAGCACCGAAGAACTGATGCTTTTGAACTGTGGTGTTGGAGAAGACCCTTGAGAGTCCCTTGGACAGCCAGGAGATCAAACCAGTCCATCCTAAAGGAGATCAGTCCTGGGTGTTCATTGGAAGGACTGATGCTGAGGCTGAAACTCCAGACTTTATAGTCAGCTGATGCAAAGAGCCAAGTCATTGAAAAGACAGTGATACTGGGAAATACAGAATACAGGAGGAGAAGGGACGCTAGATGATGTGATGGTTGGATGGTATCATTGACTCAACAGACATGAGTTTGAGCAAGCCCTGGGAGATGGTGAAGGACAGGGAAGCCTGGCATGCTGCAGTCCATGGGGTCACAAAGAGTCGAACACGACAGAGTGACTGAACAACAACGCAGATATTGAAAAAAATTGGAAATATGATATAAAACTTGGTTCACTGCTCTTCACATAAAGACAGCACATATTTATATTTCACATATGTGTCACTTTTGTGTCTGTTAGCACTTTACATGTATTTTTTGTTTATACCATGAACTTTACATGTAATTTTTTTTGTTTATACAGGTTAGCATGTTACAGTTTAAGCTGAATGTCTCCTTTATTTGCTTACAGTATTTTTATACATTTCTATACAGATACAGGTTTTTCTGTTTATGTGTAAATTTAGAATAATCTATAATCCATGAGCTTCAAATATACACTACAGAAGCTGTCACCAGATATTTTGGGTAATATTATTGTTAAGAAGAATGTTGACAGTATATATAATTCTTATTGTTCTTATTAATGAACTAAAGATTATTATATAGTGAAGAGGCCAGAATATATTTTTCTTATTTGACAGAGATATCATTCCTAATATTCTCCCTCTGTCTCTGAATCAATATTGAAGGAAAATATAATCTGCTTGTAATATATTTGGGAGCATGTAGTCAAATAAGCTTATTTGTATGCATATCTTACTCAGTTTCAATTTATGAAGGGTTAAGTCTATGGGGCAATAGGTTTTTCTCTTTTTGTTTTTTTTCCACTAGTAAACCACACTGTATGAGAAACCTTATATCCTGATTTTTATCCCTTTACCTGGAGATTCCTGACATTATCACAAAGTCTTCTCAAACACACTACTGTTCACCAAATAATAGCAAGCATTTGGGTTTAACACATTTTCAACGAGCTGCTCAGAAAGAGTCAGTGTCTTTTGCTGGCATGAATTACACTTTAGTCTCCAACGCCATGAGCATAAATCTGTACCCAAACATCCATAGGCCTGATCCAACAACACACATGTATATATCCCACCACACACTCAGATTTGTATCTAACCTCATGTTAATCTCTATAACCATTTGCACCTAAATGCTCAATCTTATATAGGTTTCTACCAAATTGCAGGTTTGTGCCTATATGTGAACACACCCAGATTCTGTATCTGACAACGCATGGCCCATTATTTGACTATGGATAGGGATGAGTTCGTATATGCATATGCATATGTATTTGATGTGATCACACACAGGCCTGTATCTGTTTTACACTTGGGGTGTATGTTTCCATTCATGGCTCTGTATATGATCATAATGAATTTAGGTAAGACTTGACTAAACAATTCTTCTCTTCCATGTGGGGTGGGCAGAGGTCATTGTCTAGTAATCGGCATATTGCTGGGCTCTAAAGGTGGGCAAAGATGACTGCAATTACGTGAATGATGCCTTGGCAGGGATGGCTAGAAGACCAGGTTCTTCTGGGTCTCTTCCTTCTTCATGGATACAGGACTATGTGAATCATGAGGTTGTCAGACTTGTAAAAGAGCAGTTTAGGACTCTCAGAGGGAGGAAGCCAGAACTATCAAGTCAGGTAAGCTTCATCCCATCATTATATCAGCCTGAAGTACTGGATCTCAAGTTTTAAATCCAGACTGCTTCTATACATGGAAAGAAGCAAAATGAAAAGGTAACCTCTAGGATGGGAGAAAATTTTTGCAAATCATGAATTCATGTGGAATTAATATCTAAATATATAAATAACTTCAAACTAAATAATATAAATAACCCCATGTAAAAATGGGCCAAGAACCTGAATAGATATTTTTCCAAAGAAATTATACAGATGCCAAGAGGAACATGAGAATGTGTTCAACATCACTGATCAGGAGGAAATGCAAATCGAAACCAAAGTGAGATAACACCTCACACCTGTTAGGATGACCATATGAGATATATAGGAGACTACAGGGATTCCCCAATGGCTCAGGAGGTAAAGAATCAACCTGCAGTGTGGGAGACACAGGTATGTGAAGTACCAGTACTATAACAGGATACATAATTTTAAATTAGTACACATCTGAAAATAGTATTTAAAAATCATGCATTTGTAAATGGTAGATCAATTTTTAAAAAACCAATTATTGTAATGAACATTTACAAATCAGATAGTTAGCTACCTAAATGTTTAATTTACACAATGATAAATATTAGGACTTCATGATAAACTCATGTTATCAAATATATAAATGTGTAAGTGGTCCTCTTTTTGTCTTGTCACAATGTTTTATCTTCATGTAGACTCAAAAGAGTTCAGAATTAAAGATAAAGGCTATAAAATTTTCCTCTGCTGTTCAGTTAACTTACATGAAATAATAGGATTTTGGCAGGATCTGCTAATGAAGGTGAAACACTCTTGAGGTCCTATTAGCCACAGCTAAGTAACTTTACAGATTTTGCTGCAACAGGAAATGTGGTAGTACTTTTAAGGCTTATCCAGAGGTGCCATTTATAAATAGGCAAAGTCACTTATTGTAACAGAACTAGCTGTCATTTTTAAATTTTACAACTTTTCTTTCTTGGTGAACTAACAGCTGCCTGAGGCCCTGACCATGGAGCTAAATCAGATAAGTTCATAGGTGAGAATTTCTTATTTTCCAGGAAATCATATTGTCATGGACTCTTTTAAGTGGATCTTACAAAGTATATAATAGATTCTCTTAAATGGATCTTACAAATAATACAATCACTTCTCACCCACACTTATCTGACATTGAAATCCATTTTGCAGTATACAAAGTGTTAAGAAAGTTAGATTCAAATACAATATTATCAGTTTAGAAGTGAAAATGTTTGGGGTCTTTTTCTTACATATATATGTATATATGCATATATAAATTAGTTTGAATTAAATTAGAATAATTATACAATTCACATTTGCATTCAAAATTTTCTCTAGTGTGTATTACAGTTTAAGATTGTCCATCTGAAATTGCACAACTTTAAAAAAGAAAAGTCTATAAAATCTACATATTAATCAAATGGATGTACTATAATTTATCCATTTCTCCAATGCTGAACATTCCATGTCATTTCTAAATTTTCCATAGTTTTTAATAATTGTGTTGAACATATTTGTAAATGCTGATTTTTTTTCCTTTAAGAAAAATTTCCATTAGGGTTTATTCCTAGGAAAAATAGTCTGGAGACAAAGAAAAATGAAAAAAAATATATTTCTTGATAGTTACTTCTAATTCTGACATATGTACACACATACATCTCTTTTCTGGTCTGTCAGGAGATCCCACTTCAGAATAAGGAAATGCAGTGAAATTGCTACACTTTGTTTCTACAAGAGTATACAATTTTCACCTTAGCAAAAAGAAAAAATAAATAAAGCTCTGTTCATTTATTTTTGAAAAAAAAATATATATTTGCAGAATATATTTTACTATATTTGTCTCCTCTTTATGTCCTCAAATTTCTCATTCAATTAGTATCCTGTAGCCAGGAATGATGGATGATGTTTGCTATGAGAAGATATGAAAAGAAAACATGAGAATGCATGTAGCATAAACACAAAGGAGTAGAAATTTTATTCCTATCATAGATGAATACATTGCTGCTCTTTGGTAATGAGATTTCAGTTATTAAGGGCATTTGAAAGGGACACTTCATGACTTTGTGTGAACAAACAAACATTCATATACATAATGTGTCCAATAGATATTTGCTGAATGAATGAATTTGTAGTATGTATCAATCATAAGTAATAGACTTTATATGTGCTTGCATTAGTCTGTGAATGTATGTATGTATAGTACATTATCTATCTATCTTACCTGGTTGAATACTTCTTTCTGATATCCACATTAAATTTTTATTTTTATTTATTTATTTATTTATTTATTTTTGTGTGTAGCAGTTTTATTAAAGTGAAAAAGGACAGAAAGCTTCTGACATAGACAGAAGACATAGACAGAAGGGGGACAGAGAATGCCCCCTTCGCTAGTCTTTGCTTTTTTTTTTTATTTACTTATTTATTTATTTATTTTTTATCACAACCATGGTGTATCTTTTTTTTTTTTTTTTTTTACATGTATTCTCTATCCCGGTCCCCCCTCCCACCTCCCTCTCCACCCAATCCCTCTGGGCCTTCCCAGTGCACCAGGCCCGAGCACTTTAGAACTTTGAAAATAAATACTTCCTTTGATGAAAGATCCTCAACCTCTATGCAAAATCTTTTTTTATCCAAGTCTATAGAAACTATGTGTTAGTCCCTTAATCATGTCCGACTCTTTGCAACCCCAAGGACTGCAGCCCACCTGGTCCTTCTGTCCATGGAATTCTCCAGGCAAGAATACTGGAGTGGGTTGCCATTTCCTTCTCCAATAGAGCTATAAGTTGATTGAATATGAGTATGTTTAATTGAATGTGGAATAGGATTTTGAAGGATAAAAAATATCAAATAATGAACACCAGTTTGGGCTTCTCTGGTGTCTTAGATGGTAAAGAATCTGCCTACAATTCTGGAAACTCAAGTTCAATCCCTGAATTGGCAAGATCCCCCAGGAGAAGGGAATGGCTACTTACTCCAATATTCTTGTCATGGACAGAGAAGCCTGGTGAAATACAGTCAAGGGGTCACAGAGAGCCAGACAAACTAAGAGACTAACACTTTCACCTTCACTTCCAGTGACTCGTAGACATTTCCCTAAGCTCTCTGCTTATTACAGATACTTAACACTTTTCTATAGTTACAGTTGAGGGTTCAAATGTAAAATCTCATGAATGAGGGAATAGCACTTACCGTTGTTAGGCACCTCTCAGCTTACAAGATACATCTGAGAATTACGATTTTCAGACTCACAGGTATAGAGAGCAGCTCCTAAGAATGGGACACTGAGATGACTTAGCAGAGTCAAACAGAATTGGAATCAAGAGGAGAATAAAGAATGCATGTAGACAACACAATATTTTCTCAGTAAATCGCACATTAAAAGTCTGCAGAAGCTGTAAACTTATTGAAAAGGACTACATTATATTTCATGTGGGATGGAATTTTGAGTAATAAAAAGTGGAATTTAACAAATGCCATAATTATCTTTACCAGCTGAGCCACAAGGGAAGCACAAGAATACTGGAGTGTATCTTGTGAAGGAGTGTATCCCCTTCTCCAAGGGATCTTCCTGACCCAGGAATTAAACAGGGATCTCCTGCATTGCAGGCTGATTCTTTACCAACTGATTTATCTTGAAAGCAAAATTACCCTGTAGCATACTATTTCCTAGAGGCAATTAAATATTCTCATACTTCACCCATAAAAAGTGTTAGAAACTATCAAAGTAAGATGAAGCTTCCTTTCAAATGTTTATTTATGTTACTCATAAAGTAGAGAGTAATGATAAATACATCAGGAGAAAACATTGGAATTCCTCCTATGATTATGGTCTCAGGAAACAGGCATACTTTACCCATGGAAAATGGCAATTCAAGCACTTACTCATCACCTAATAGGTTTCAGACACTATCAATATCATGCCAGGTATTATAGTAAGTGAGGAAACACAGCTGAATAACAAGTGGTCTGCTGGGTACGAGGTAGAGTGTATTGCCAATGATATATACATTTCTCTAAACTTCCTACTTACTATAGATAGTTACTGATAGTATCTTTCTTTCCATAGTTACAGCTGAAAGTTCACATGTAAACTGTCATGGAAGAGGAAATAATTATTACCTCTTTGATACAAGTATAAACTTATCAGATATATCTGAAATTGCAATTTGTGAACTCACAGGTAAAAAGGAGGACTGAAAAGCAAGGAACAGTAAGATGACTTAGTAGGATCACATGAAGTTGGAACCAGAATAAGAGTCCAGATCTTATGTAGACAGCCCAGTAAATTACACATCAACTATTGCCCTCTACAGGTTTTAAAGTGACAGGTGATGGGTATCTGAAGAGATGGAAAGTATCATGGAGAAAATTTTAAAAAGACTTGAAACAAGTACTGGGGCAAATGCCACAGACATGCTCCACAATTACAGTGGCTGAACTATTTTTTCCCTAAGAAATTCAGGCTAAATGCTTTCATGATTAATATGTATCATTCTTTATTCCTTTGTAGGAAATTCAGTCCCTAGGAGAGTGTCATTTCCTAAATGGATGTCTCCATGCCTCCTAAAAATGTGACTGAATTTGTTCTCTTGGGACTCACACAGAATCCACACTTGCAGAAAATACAGTTCATTGTCCTTTTGTTCATTTTCCTGTTCACTGTGATGATCAGTTTGCTCATTGTCATCACCATCTCACTCAGCTCCACACTGTCAAAAACTCCCATGTACTTCTTTCTCACTCACTTGTCCTTCATAGATGCCACCTTGACCTCTGTCACCACTCCCCAAGATTACCATTGACCTTCTGTACCAGAGGACAACCATCTCCTGGGGTGCCTGCCTGACTCAGCTTTTTTAGGAACACTTCCTCGGAGGATCAGAGGTCATCGTCCTCACTGTCATGGCCTATGGCCGCTACGTGGCCATCTGCAAACCTCTGCACTACAAGACCATCATGCGACAGGGGCTCTGCCAGCTCCTGGTGGTGGTGGCCTGGATCAGGGGGATCCTGTATGCCACTGTGCAGATTCTTTTCATGTTCATGTTCAATCTGACCTTCTGTGGTCACAATGTCATTGACCACTTCATGTGTGATTTCTTCTCACTGATGGAACTTGCCTGCGGCGACACCTACAGACTTGGCATGGTGGTGGCAGCTAACACAGGGGGCATGTGCTTGCTCATTTTTTCCATGCCACTTGTCTCCTACATAGTCATCCTGAGCTCTTTGAAATCTCATAGCTCTGAAGGACAACGGAGGGCCCTCTCTACATGTTGCTACCACTTTGCAGTAGTGGCACTTTTTTTTGGTCCGTGTATATTCACCTACATGCGTCCTGTGGTCATTTATCCTGCCAACAAGTGGGTGGCTGTGTTCTTTGCAATCCTCACTCCCATGTTAAATCCTATCATTTGCACAGTGAGAAAGGCAGAAGTGAAAAATGCTGTGAGGAGTTTGTTGAAGAGGAGAGTAACTTAAGCTATTCACAATGCCATGAAAGTGATGATTTATATACAAAGGGAGGATTATATCTGTTATAAAATGTTAATGAAAATCAAGAAATGTTTCAGATCATTGAGCAGAAAAAAAGGGACAGAAGCCAACATTTTGTTATAGCCTGGGGAAACAGAGACCAGAACTTGTCCCATGACTCGAGGGTGTGGCAAGCTGTAGGCATTTTTTAGCCATTTCAATGACTTTAATGTACTTTACCAAAGTGTCAATGTTCATGTTTATACTGCAGAGTAGGCAATGGAAATAACATCTATAATGCCCCAGTTTGATGGTTGTAGAGTAAGTTTTTGTCTAGAGTCTTACTGCTTTGTTACCAAATTCTTCATATATGTTACTTGGATGAAATTGGATTTTCCATAGGACTTTGACCTTAGAATTTCTATATTTGATTAGCCAGTGTCAAATCAAGCACAGAAATAGAAATTCTTAGATAGATATATGGGAAAGGGACAGTTGAGTGAAGGAGTAATAGCTGAATTTTCTTTTCTTTTTTTTTTTTTTGGGTACTGTGAATGTACCAAAAGCAAAACAAGAGACACCCACAAAAGGAGAACAGAATAATTCACAATCTGCCTCTAATTCTCTCCTTAGATGTCCATCAGCAGACGAATGGATAAGGAAGCTGTGGAACATATACACAATGGAATATTACTCAGCCATTAAAAAGAATTCATTTGAATCAGTTCTAATGAGATGGACGAAACTGGAGCACATTATACAGAGTGAAGTAAGCCAGAAAGATAAAGACCAATACAGTATACTAACACATATATATGGAATTTAGAAAGATGGTAATGATAACCCTATAGGCAAAACAGAAAAAGAGACACAAATGTACAGAACAGACTTTTGGACTCTGTGGGAGAAGGCAAGGGTGGGATGTTTTGAGAGAACAGCATCGCAACATGTATATTATCAAAGGTGAAACAGATCACCAGCCCAGGTTGGATGAATGAGACAAGTGCTCAGGGCTGGTACACTGGGAAGACCCAGAGGGACTGGGTGGAGAGGGAGGTGGGAGGGGGGATCGGGATCAGGAATACACGTAAATCCATGGCTGATTCATGTCAATGTATGGCAAAAACCACTACAATATTGTAAAGTAATTAGCCTCCAACTAATAAAAATAAATGGAAAATAAACCATTTTGAAATTAGTCTTAATTTGCTTGATTTTTCTTAACTGTCTCCATGGATCACATTTTTAATATAAATAATATAATAAAAATATGTATAGATATAAACATTTTCCATTTGAAGACCCAAGGAACCATTTGAAACAAGGTTAGGCATCTTTTGCAAATCTCAACAAGACGCATATGGTTAGGCTCCAAAGCTTTTTATCTGTAGGTCTGCCACAAACATGTACATCAAATTCACACTTTGTTGTCTATCAGGCATTTTCACATCAGTTCACTTTTACAAATATTAAACTGGTAGTTCTATTATTATTATCCCAATTTTCCAGAGAAGCATATTGAAACCAAGAGAGTTTTACTAATTTGCTGAATCACTTCACATGTTTCCCATACAAAATGTGTCAGGAACTATTACACTGGAATTCAGCTATTTCAAAACTTTCACCTAAAATCTTGCAATTCAGGTCATTGAAACTCAGTTTTACTTCCTTTCAGATGAAATACAGTTGTCCATAGTATGCTGAGGTCTATAGATAAGAAATCTATCTGCAGTTTTAATGATTCGATTTTTCCTTGGTGTCAATGTTGTCAAACGTGTTTTAGCCTTGTTTCACATGTTTCAGCAGAATAAATATATTCCCTTTTTGAAAGTTCAAATTATGCCACTTCACTTTACAAAAGACCAGCATTAGTATAGTAATGTAACCTATAAAGGAAAAGAATATGAAAAAGAATACATATGCATGTAATACATATATATATATATAAGCATATATATATATATATATGTATATATCACTTTGCTGTGAATTTGAAACTAAAGCAACATTGTAAATTACCTGTACTTCATTAGCAGAAAAATGGAAAAATATCTTCAAAAACTCCCCAACATTAGTGTGAATGTAGACTGTTATTGATTGTTAAAACAAACAAAAAAAGCCCTTTGTATTTATTTTCATTCATGAAAATAAGTCCTAATGTAGGTCTTCATAAAGCATGTTAGCTAAGGTGAACCTTCAGAAAGTGGGGTATAGCTGCAATGCTCCTCTACGCAGGTGAACAATACCTCCAGGCTCATACATTACTGAATTCAAATTATGAATGAAATAGATCTACTTGATCATTGAATTTGAGAAAGTGACATTTGTGAAAAGTAACACCAGGGGACTGGTGTAGCCATGTGTGTTTCTTCTGAAAATCATTGGGGCAGGATGTTTGGATCTGTTGTAAAAGGAACCTCCAGTTTAATCTGGAATCTTCATTTGATGAAAATATTAGGCATTAAGTGAAGGGAGTGAGCTCATTACCATTGCAGACCAATAGTAATGGATGAGGTACATTTTCACAGGTTCTTTATAGACTTTAACTCTCTTATTGGAGGAACAAGTATCAGTAGAAACATTTTTTTCTCCATTTTATACTAAAGGACAATGTGACTCAGTAAAGTTAAGCAAGAATAGGATGGTTTTTAGATTTGACTACCTCTACTCCTTCACTTCACAATACTCTTTGTTATCATGATGTGAAAATATCAAAACACAGGTCTGCTCATTGGCCACGTTCTGAGGACTGCCACCGAGGCATCCTTCTCTTATTTCATTTGTGGAGGGGAAGCACTTTCTTCCCTTCATCTCCCTGTTGATCTCTTTTTCCCAGGTCACTTACACTATGTGGATTTCTGTTGTGTCAAAAAGAAGTCATCTGATGATTTATTTTTGGCAGATATATTACCCTTCATGAGGACCATGAAAAATGGGGCATAGGGGGCTCAAGAAATGAAATTCAAATATTGAATTTCAAAGAAAATGACACTTGGGAGAAAGACATCTACAGGAAAACAGAGCAACTCTATCATTGAGGAAATTGATACTCCGTTAGAATATGAAGGTAGCACCTTGAAGAGCTACATAGGTGCTATTTTCCATATGGCTTTTTGCATTGTAAGCCAGTAGTGTTCACTCATTACTGGGAAAAGTGACTCCATAATCAATTCATTTTAGGAAATTTTCAGTTATTTAATTTATCCAAACAATACCCTTCTGTGTTTACAGTGGGTTAGAGAGTTATGGGAGCTGGATACAAAAATTTGAATAATTAAAAAACAACAACAACAGGATGGTTTGTAGGTGGAATTAAGATTCCAGTGGGAAATAGATGGATGCTGCTGCTGCTGCTGTCACTTCAGTCATGTCCGACTCTGTGCGACCCCATAGATGGCAGCCCACAAGGCTCCCCTGTCCCTGGGATTCTCCAGGCAACAATCCTGGAGTGGTTTGCCATTTCCTTCTCCAATGCATGAAAGTGAAAAGTGAAGTTGTGAGTTGTGTCGCTCAGTTGTATCTGACTCTTAGCGACCCCATGGACTGCAACCAGGCTCCTCCATCCATGGGATTTTCCAGGCAAGAGTACTGGAGTGGGGTGCCATTGCCTTCTCTGAAATAGATGGATAGTAAGTGAATAAAGAAAGAAGAAAAAAAAATGTCATTTTGTTGGTAATAGTGAAAGGTTGTTGCTGAACGATAAGACACTGGGATTCTTGGCTTCCGGAGGAGATGAATTCAATCCAGTGCCAGAGATGAGGCTGGATCGCTCAGAGCTTTTGTGTAATAAAGTTTTATTAAAGTATAAAGGAGATAGAGAAAGCTTCTGACATAGGCATCAGAAGGGGGCAAAAGAGTACCCCCCTCCTAGTCTTTAGCTGTAAGCTATATAGTCATTCACAGTCTGTTAATGAAAAGAAAGGAATGTCTTAGAATTTAGAATGGCACCAGATAATTCATCCCTAGCCATAAAATGATTGACTTGAATCTTGTAGAAGGCAGATTACCAACAAATAGTTTCATTTACATAGATTAGGGGAACAATATCTGGGTAAGTAGGTTAGGCCATTTGGTGAATTTACAGAGTCTGGGGTAAATTAACATATCTTAAGACAAACATTTCCATAAGAAAAAGAAATGTATTTGTTAACTCAAGATTTGAGAATAGCCTCAGGTGAAACCAGGTGTCATAACAACACAGCATTTTAAGAGAAACCTCCTTTTAAATTTGTATAGAGAAGAAAAAAATATATATATCGCTGGTTTGTTTCCTCCTGCCGCTTAAGAGAGATAAAAATGTCTGACACTTGCAGCCTATTTCCTCCATTTGGAGACTCCTGGTCTTCCTGCCTGTTACCCTCTCAATAGGTAAGATGAGAAACATTTTATAAGGACATGATAGGGGTGAGCATTGGATATGGATTTGTGTAGTTGTTGGAAGCATGGAAAGAGGGTCTTAATTTAAATAGTCATATTAGCCCACCCCACCTTTTTAAAGAATAGGTTATTTTAAAAATATGTATTTGAAATGGGAAAAATAGTAGCTGTCCAAAGTGTTTGCTAAAAGTGTCTATATCCCAATGTGAGTTCCACTTTTCTCCTTCCACCCTGGGTGGCTCTGTCCAATATCAGCAACGTGGTCTGACTGAGGCTCCTCTCAGGTTTCTATTTCTTCTTAGTCTGTGTGTGATTCCATGTGTGACCTTTAAGGCTGCAGTCTGTGTTTTCTACAGCCCCCTAGCTCTCTGGAAAGGAATTCTCACTGATTTTAAAGTCATGTATGTATGGCGGATTACCTTTCCAGTTCAGGACACCTGAACTGAGGAGCTCTCTTTGGGTCTCAGATCCATTGGCTCCTTTGGGAGACTCTCTGCAACTGGATCGTCTCTTGTTTTGCGTGTTGCCTACCTGAGGTATGGGGCATGACTGCACCCTTATCTACCACTCCTATCAGTCTTGTTGTGAATCCTGCTATATATTTTTAGTAATAGAAGATCTGCTAGTCT